CAGAGTTTTTCAAAGCACTGGGGTTTAGGGACCGGGAGGGCAAAATAAACTTTAAGCGGGTAGACTCAACTAGAAGGAGGTTATCTGATTGGTGGCTAAAGTCAAGGACCGAGTGAAAATTAAACCCTTCACTGCGAAGTACGAATCCTCAACTTCGTTATTTAAAGGAAAAAAAAAGATAAATGTAATGGTTAGTTCACTAAGTATTACGGCTAGGTGGCGTTAGCCGCCGCCCGATCTAAAGGGTACAGCCACATCCATCCATCCATCCATAAGGTAGAGTGCTGAGTGGAAAGACGTTCTAAAACACGGGAGTCATCCTAACTGACCCTGGCCTTCAAACGGCTGTGCTGCCTCGGCAGGATAGCGAGGATGGGGGTGCTGCGATGACGGACGTTTAGTTAACGGCGGCACTAGCGATGAGCTGCGTCTGCTTATCGCTTTCGTGGACATCCGTGACGGATGATATCGTTTGAACGGAGAACGCTCGGCACCACTTCAACTGCGTTGCTCAAGCGGGCAAGGCATGGGATGTTTTTCGTTGTTTCTCACGCACGTGTATCGATCAAAAAATAAAAGCAATATTACTTTATAAAATGTTAGAAACTGCTGAATCGGATGTTTTGCCAAGTGATCCGGATCTTTCTCATCGGAATTTTTTTACAAAGCTTTGTTCGCTCCAAAAGTTAGGCAACCGATGTGCCTATAATCTGGCACTAAAGCAACACTTCCGATCTTTGCATGCCGCGAAGCTCATGAGACAGTTCGTAGAACAATAATGTTTTTTTTTGTAACGCCCTCGTTGTTCTAGCTATTTATTTCTTTGTCCTGCGTTTTCTTTTGTATTTCCGTATGACGTTTTAAAAAATCTGAAAATTTATTGAGTGGCAGCGTGTAAACGCAAACCCTTGTCATTCACTCATTTCACTTAACTTATGGCATCGGCTATGCGTCTAAGACATAACGCAATTAGGTTGCTTTGGTTAGAGGCTTGCGTGGTTTTAACGTTGTGCTGTTTGGTTCCAGTACTGATCGCGCCATCTTGGTTTTTTTTTGTCCTTACTGTAGGGGGTGATTAACTTCCGCTACCGTGAAGAGACTCCAACAACTGGCGTATTTCAAAAGTAAGCAAGGCTTTATGCAAGAATGTTCATGGCGTGGGGGCTATTATCCACTCTCACTGCTTGGATTATGTTTTCGAATCATTCACATGAATAAATAATTGGGTATTTTTTTTTAAACTGGTGCTCCAGTGCATGTTTTTGCATCGCTGTTGCTCTCCTGTGAATTGTTCGTCAAGGCCAGAACCTTGGATGCTTTATCAAACGCGACCATCAACCTTCAGCATCAGCATGCGCGACGCAAAACACCATCATCACTTGAAGACGTCACATCACATGATGAGGTCGTTTGGATCAAGGTGTGCTGATCTCGGAAGAAGGGCACTACTAAGGGATATGCACAAAGCTCTCGTGCACGGTTAGGGGGAGGATCATTACATCGACGGATGAAAAAATAAGCTGTTCATCACCATCGAGTCGTTTTAGGGGAGTGCTTAAGAATCCTGTGCATATGCATATTTTTTCTCCCCTGTGTCACACATCAGCGTCGATGTTTTCGTGAAGTAAAGGTTATATACGACCTACAGGTTGACAAGGAACAATGTTTGAAGCACACAGAAGCAATGACTGCACAAGCCTATTTACGGACTCAGTTGTTTCATTTTTATTCCTTCAGACATACAGGAAAATGTGCACGTGAAAAGAGTATCGCAACCGGAATCTTTCACGCTTTGTCGCTTAAAAACAGGCTCGTTTTCTCGTTAATTCAGTGACTTCTCTCGATGCGAGACGGATGTTAAGGGCACTCTCGCGGGGTTCATGTATTCCTTCGGTCGGCGAACATTAGTGAAGTCTAGATGGGTAGCAAATGCTAATGAGCACGTTGTCAAGTACCGGAGCCATGCTTGAAGACATTGCTTCATCAATGTGCCTACGTAGAACTTGTCCAATTGATCTTTCCAATTTTTTTACGTAAACGTCGTTGATATCAGGCTTCGAGAGGCTTATATGAGTCGTCTCGATGAATTTCAAGCGAGGCATGACATTCTGTTCCTCGGATCCTGTTCACCGTAAAAAGAAAAAGAAAGAAAGAACGCCAATTGGGGAAAGAAATCAGTCTTGCACCGCCCGTCTTTTATTCGCAGATTTTATTTTGCGTACCGAAATTTCACCTGTGCGGCTCACGAATTGCAGGGTGAGAAAACAAAGCCATGAAAACAAATTCACCAAGAGACGAGCACGTTAGGTGCACCAAGATTACGCTTACCCTCGTGAAGTTGAATGAGATGTGTTCAGCTTATCCAACCTAAATGCGGGTCAATGTGTACAAAATTGAAAGAACTAAGCGTTACCATGCTCCATATATGTGTTACGAACAGTTCTGTATCACTGTGTATGCCACTTTGTATCAATTAACTACTAAGCGATAATCTGCAAAG